TTTTAACATTATTTTAATTAAATTTTTACATAATTTTATTAATTTTAGTTAATATTTATATATTTTTAAAATAATAAAAACATACAAATATAAAAAAGCTTACTGCTTATTACTATAATATAATACAGTACAATACTAATATAGTACAATACTAACAAATAAAATTTTATACTGTAATACATAATACTTATAATCATAAATGATTTTTTTTATTTACTCTATGTTTGGGTTGAAGAGAATAGAGGGGAAAAAAAAGAAATTATATTCTTCCATTCTACTTTCTTATTTAGAAAAATAACTAAATTTAAAAAAAAAAATAAAGTAAAGAAAATTTTTATCCTTTTCTCTCCAATTTTTTTTTATAACGAAATAGAAATTTTTTTCCTCTTCCCTTTCATCCATTTCCCCAATCCAAATATATTATTAAAGATGGCTAACAGGTGAATTGTCATATATCTATAATTTATTTATGGTTACCTATGTTTAATTTTAATTAGTTGGCTTATATAGTTTGACCTTTTTTCTTTTTAAACATTAATTTTATATGAAAATTTAACAAAGTATATTTACTGAAAAATTTAATAAAGCATATGATTAATAATTGATTTTTTTTCTATATATAGTTTTTGTTAAATAATTTTATTTGAATGAAAAAAATTTCAATTATTATTTATATATCATGTTAAATTTGAATGAAAGGAGTATAAAACTTTTATAATATTTTATTATGAGATAAAATTGTAAGTGTATATTTGTATTAAAAAATTAGTATTTGTCCACTTTATCTCTAAAAAGTTAAGAGAAAAATTACTTTAAAAGTACATTATTTCAATAAACTTACATTAACAAAACTAAAATGCAGTATTTTCAAATATGAATTTATTTATTTTTATCTTTTCTAGTATTGATTTATTGAAATAACATAATTTTAAATTAATTTTCTTTAAATTTTTAAGAAATGAGACAAATCATTTCTGATTTATGTATACATCTAAGTTATCTAATAACACTTTCCCACTTATTGCATTTAATAAATAATAATAATAAGGTTAAAATATTAATTTAATCTCTAAACTTTTAGATTTATATTGAAATTATCCTTAAATTTCAAAAAGTACCAAAATTATTTCTAACCCATTATTTTTGATACAAAAATAGTTCTTCTGTTAATGAAAATGATATGTGATTTGTTATTTTATCACAAAATCCATTTTTTTTAAATATTAATGGTTGTAAAATCAAACAATCATATTTTACTATCATGACATATTTTCAATTACATATTAAATTGATATGTAATCAAAATTGAATGATTAAATTCATATTTATAATCAAAATTCAAACTAAAATTAAAGTTGATACTTGTTTTCAAAATTTAAAAACTAAATTGGTATTGAATTAAAGTTTAAAAACTATTTTAATATCAAAAATTAAAATTTAAAAACAATTTTAATACTTTTTAAAATTTAAAGATAAATTTAATATAAATATAAATGTTGAGATACCAAATTAGTATTTTACCCTAATTAATAATAACCCATTTCTACCCAACTTTCAAATGACTGCAACCCCACCTGCAAAAAGAAAATTTTCAGCCACCGCCTTTTTATTTTTTTGCCAAACTAAGATTCAGACAACGCAAACTTGAGGATCATATAATGCAACACTCAAGCTAAATCCAGAAGGTCGACTTTTGTTACATTACATGATAACAATTAACAACACTCAGGCAAACGGTACTACTAAAACACTGCCATACTTCATGCAAATAAATACTAGATATGGTAGTGTTTTTCAAAGATAATGGGGATATGTTAGTGGAGACTATTTAACAGCTAGCATCCACCGTGACCACGTTCACCAGGTCCGCCATGCATGGCGGCCGCCACGGCCTCCATGGCCACCATGGCCTCCATGCCAGCCGCCATGGCTGCCAGGGCCTCCACCTCCATGACAATGACCACCAGGGTCTCCGCCTCCTGGACCATGTCCGTGGCCAGGTCCACCCCCATGGTGTCCGCCGTGGCCTCCACCAGGACCGTAATGCCCTGGGCCGCATCCAACAGGACCATTATGCCCTCCATGATGTCCCTTGTCAGCCATGCCTTTGACGCAGGATTATGTTTAGCTGGTGGGTAGGTTAATATCAGTTAATATGGGGAATATGTTGAAGCCCCGAGAGGTATATATATGTATACAAAAATTGGGAGTTAATTAGTCAGTTAGAGGTAAAAATCAATATTTAGCCCTTCACCTTACAAAATTGATAAGTTTTAGCCTATTACCTTATAACATGACTGTTTTAACCATTTATCTTACAAAGTTGGTAAGTTTTAACTCATCACCTTACAAAGTTGGTAAGTTTTAGCTCCTCACCTTACAAAGTTGGTAAGTTTTAATCATTTACCTTATATTATGATATTTTTAGCCCATTATCGATACGAATTAAAAAAAATAACCCTCAGCTAATATCAGGTTATAACGTTTTATTAGTTCTGTTAATTGACTGTTAATATTTATTAGCATTCCGTTATAAAATATATGAAATTTAAATTCAATTTTATTTGTTAGTTTCATTAACAGAATGCTAACGGATGCTAACAGTCAGCTAATAAAACTGACAATCAGTTAACAGAATTAATAGAACATTAAAATTTGATGTTAAATAAGGGTTATTTTCTTTAATTCGTATAGATAATAGGTTAAAAGTGTCATAATATAAGGTGATGGGCTAAAACCTACCAATTTTGTAAGGAGAGAGGTTAAAACTTACCAACCTTGTAAGATAAATGGTTAAAAGTGTCATATTATAAAGTTAGGAGCTAAAACTTATCAATTTTATAAAGTGAGGGGCTAAATGTTGGTTTTAGCCACAGTTAGACGTCTGCATCATATGTATCCGTTGTCTACACTATACTAGATGGTACCCATGATTGTGTCACGGAACGTTAAAATAAAGAAAAATAGGTAGAGAAATGGAAAATAAATAAATATAATATATAATATATAATATAACTAAATTTATAAAAATAAATGTATATCTTAAATACTTAAAATTAATAATATAAATTTGTCGGACAACTAACTCATAAAACATATTTTAGTAGTTCAACAATAACATAATTTTTATAAATTTTTAAGATATGATATATTGAGTTTGACATTTTAAAATGATTCATATACATTTTCATTTTAAAATTTAAATGCCTCTATCAAGTTTCTCTATAAGTTATTACATGCACATATTCATTTTTATTATTTAAATGTCTAAGTATATAATTATGGAAAGAAGATTTCAAGAGAAAAAAAGCAATTTAGAAGTAACAACTTAAATTGAAATCAAAGTTCTTAAGTTTTTTTGTTAAAGAAACAAAGTTTGAAATGTAAAAAATAATTGGAAAGATACAAAAAAGAAAGTAAAAGATAAATGATGAGCTAAAAAAAGAAAGTAAAAGGTAAATGATGAGTGCATTTATATACATATTAATGTAGAATTTCTATCTTGATATTATTGATTTTATATGAGTTTTATGAGATTTTATTTGATTTTATATAATTTTCATTTTTTATGTAGGAAAAGGTTTTATTGGAAGAAATCATAATTTTTAAGAGCAAATGCAAAGAGAAAAATATGAGGATTAACTTGTGTGAAATCCAGAAGTTAGGATCAGAATTGTCATTTTACTATTAACAGAAATTGCTTAGAAAGCCAAAAACCTGACATGAATCAACGCTTGGCTAAAGGTGTTGGTACATTGTTGAAGGTATTGACCTCTTATGCAATTTCAACAAGTTCGTGGTTGGTTTACTATTTTGGTGTGGATCTCATTTCTATTCTAATTAAAATTTTTAAAATTCAATAAATAAGCCAATTACAAAATAATTATAAATTGAGTTTATTTTCAAAACTATATGTGGAAGTTACCTTATTTTTTCATATTCATCCCATAATAAAAGTTAGATCTTCTAATTGGAGAGAAGTTGGTAAAGGATGAAATCATGAAATTGAATTTCCGCACAAATTTAAATTGAGCACAACAGATGGAAAAAGAATAAAAGAAATTAAAACTACAACAATAGAGGGTAAAAAAGGATGATCATATTGTTTAGTTTACAGACTATTTGAAATATCACTTAAAGCTACTCTGTTTAAAGGATGGGTAGCATGGTCAGCAATTGATGATATTAGATTGGATTCCAAAGGAGTAAAGGATGTCTCAAGACTGGACAGTTTATGTGGACCGTTTTGATCCATGATATATCTTCTTCTTAGTCTTACTTCCTTTTTTTGTTGTTCATCTCTAAGAAAATCAAACACAACAACCATTAAAAAATACAGACGAAAATGAATAAAAGGATCCAAACAGAAAGACAATAAAGGAAATTAACAAAAATACAAAGACACACATGTCTACTGCAAATGAAAGAAAGAAATTAGTATGAAAAGCAATCAAAAGATGGACCATGATAATGAGGAATTCTTTTAAGACATAAAGAGTTTGTCAAAAAAAAAAAGAAAAAAGGAGAGTTTAAGCAGAAAAAGAAGAAAAGAAGAAGAAGAAGAAGAAAAAAAGATAGTGAGTCATTTTCAAAAGCAATTAAGGTAGTTAAATTCAACAACTTGTTGCCTAGTTTCAGTACATGGATAGTCATTCATAGCTAGATTTGGATCGCACCAGTTAGCTCACGACTTTAAGTTCAATTAATGATTTAGTAGATAAATAAAGTATATAAATAGAGTAACATGTAAACTTGCAATTGCTCTAAAAGCAATTAAGCTAGAAGTTGAATAGCCATTCATTATTTGGATAGTCATTCACAACTGGATTTGGATCAAACTAGTTAGATCACGACTTTAAGTTCAATTAATGATTTAGTAGATAAATAAAGTATATAAATAGAGTAACATGTAAACTTGCAATTGCTCTAAAAGCAATTATGGTAGAAGCTAAATAGCCATTCATTATTGAAATAGTCATGCACAACTGGATTTGGATCACATTAGTCAGCTCACCACTTTCAGTCCAATTAATGATTTAGTAGATAAATAAAGTATATAAATAGAGTAACATGTAAAATTGCTATTACTCTAAAAGCAATTAAAGTAGAAGTTGTATAGCCATTAATTATTTAAAGAAACCATTAGCCTAGACAATAACTACCTTTTCTATGGATACAATACAAAGTGACTAAAAAAATTAGAATACCAACAGTCTAAATCAATTTATTAATCATGTAAAAATTATAAACATTTATCATCAAGATGATAATGAATGGAATTCAAATAGGAATGAAAACATAAATGCATTGCATGAGATGTGATTACGACTAACATTGTTTTTAAGGAAAAATATAAATATTTAAATATGTGCATAAACAACATACAAGTGACATAAGAGTAGTTGAGGAATTGTGATAAATTAGTAACATTGTTTTTTAAAAGTTTAGTTGCTAATAAATACTAATCTTAAAATTTAAATTTAATACATAATCTAGTAATTATAGTTGATTTTTTATTTACCTTATATTTGGGTTAAAGAAAATGGAGGGAAAGAAAAAAAATTATATTCTTCTATTCTACTTTAATTTTTTTATAATAAATTAAAAAAAAATTTTCCCCTCCCCTCTCATCCATTTCCCTAATTCAAATATACTATTAGTGATGGCCAACATGTGAATTGTCATATATCTATAATCTATTTATGCTCTGCCACTTTTGTTTAATTAATTTTAATTAGTTGGTTTATATATAGTTTGACCTTTTTACTTTTTAAACATTAATTTTATATGAAAATTTAATGAAATATATATACTAAAAAAAATTTAACAAAGCATATGAATAATAATTGAAAATTTTCTTTTCCTCTACATAGTTTTTGTTGAATAGTTTCATTTAAATGAAAAAAATTTTCAATTATCATTTATTTATTATGTTAAATTTTCATTTAAAATTAATATTCAAAATGTCAAAAATCAAATTATGCTAACCAAATTTGAATGGAAGAAGTATAAAACTTTTATAATATTTTATTATAAGTATATGTATTATGAAATTAGTGTTTATTTATTTTATCTCTCAAAAATTAAAATAAAAATTACTTTAAAATTACGTTATTTTAATAAACTTATATTTAAAAAAAGAGAAAAAAATGTCATATTTTCAAATTAAATTAATTTTTTTTATCTTTTCTAGCATTAATTTTTTGAAATAATATAATTTTAAAATAATTTTTTTTAAAAATTTTTAAGAAGTGAGACAAATCATTTCTGATTTAAGTATATAACTAAGTTATCTAATAACCTTTTGCACTTATTGCTTTTTTAAAAAAT